ATAACTATGGATAATCGTATGAATGTGAATGTGCGATTAAGGATTAACACTACAGTTGATATTTGAAGATTCTCTCAAAATTGCACATTCATGCCTTTAGGCGAGTGCATGCAGTTTGAAAGAATTTTCAATTATCACAAGTAACTAGTGGAGATCCTTAATTTCTCAGGCTTTCATATGATGTTATATGACCTAGAAAATTATGAACAAGTGCATATTAATTTGCTTTGCAGTAACAATAGAGAACTGAAAAAGCTTTGGAAACCCCTTAATTTTGTCTTCTTGCACTCAATCAAACAAGATTCTGCAAAATTTTACAATTTTCTAACTCGGAGCAGACCACGCAATTTTTCTTGGGGTCACGTAGGTCTGAGCCATATGTGAGGAATCTGACAACACAGAGGGGTGACATGGATGGTTGTTAGTTATTCCTGACATGACTTCCCTGAAACCCTATGATCATTTCTTACAAAATGTCATTAGGCAAAATTGAAAAATTTATGGACAGAGGTAATATCATTAAGTACTCTATGTTGAAGATGACTGTAGTTTATAACTAAATGTGCTTTCTTTATAGGACTTTATGAAGTAAATGTAATTCCAACAGAGGATTCAGATAGACTTGAACTTACAGGAAACTATCTAATGACTGTTCGCAAAGAATACTTATGCCTTCATAGTGCAAAAACAGGAGAAAGAGTTTTAGAATGGGAGTTGGATCATCTTCCAAGATTTCGACTTCAAAGACTTTCCCACCTTCAGGATATTGACAAAGTTTTAACATTTCAAGCAGCTAGGTAAGAACCCACAATGCTTTGTAGCCTGGTCAGGCACGTGTTGCCAGTGTCCTGGATATTAAGCTCAATGGGTTGCAGTATCTTTGTTGCATAATTTGGAACATGACTTTGAAATCTGCTTTTGCGAGACTTCGATCAAAAAAGCAAATAAGCTTAAAGAACAACAACAAAAATAAACTCTGCTAAAATACTTCCTAGCTTTTTGAATTAATTTTAATCAGTTTAAAATTGCCTTTAAGTTGTGTCGAGGTAGGCCAATTTGATAACTGACAAGTCACCAAAAGCACATTTTAATCCACATACACATGGTAGGCCAATTTGTATTTACCAGGGGTTTCATTAAGGGTCAGGCATCCGGCAAATTGACCAGCTGTGATGATGATTTTTCCCGCCTGTTTGACCATCTAGAGGAAAGTTTTTCTTATAAAGAAGTTCAAAATGTTTTATACTCCTGTGAAAAACGGTTGCCTTCCTGCTGAAAACATTAATGAAACCGCTGATTTACTGTGTATGCTTCTCAAGGTTGTTATAAGTGCAAACGGTGTTTTCACACTTCTTTGTAACCATTTTCACGGAATTTCGACACAACATGTCACTGTTTACTTCGATTTTCAGGGGCTGTAAAACAGGCGAAGGACATTTTCAATTCCTGACCCAGCAGGGGCGGGAAATCTTAGAATGTGTCAAACTACAGACTCAAAAACTTGCCAGCATACGGCATCTACCGCATGACAGACCCCGAAGACCTTCACTGGACTCGGTGCCCTGCACAAGATCTTCTGAAAATGAAACTGTGGACAGTTTAACTAGTAATTCATTCTCTTGATGTTCCAATACTGACACCTGTCTAGCTCTCAAGGAAGGCAGGGTCAGCAAGCTGTCTCCAAGTGGCACACAGCATCAAACAGAAGCAAGTTTTGTTGTGGGATCAGAAGAAGCATTACCATTGTTGCAGTGTTTGAATTTCAGCGATCCTACCTTACTGTACTGCGAGTTCAGCATTACATTTGCCGTCCGACTGTGTTCAGTTGCCTTACAAACTATTCTTCTCCTACGAAAAAGAAGTCTGAGAGTTTGCTGAAAAATATAAGTCTCGGATTGGCTGTTACTTGCGCGCGAAAATTTAGAAACGCGCAACAACCAATCACATCTCTGTAGAGGTACGTCATCACTATGGAATTTCTCGGGTCCAGTGTCAGACGCTCTTTGGGCTCGTCACGTTGGCGAAAGATTGCGTGACAAGCCTAAAGAGCGTCTGCGCAAAAAGGCTAGTGTCAGGGGTGAGAAGAAACCGCTCTCTACTTTCAGCAGTGGATTAGAGGGCCTGTCTTCCTGATTTGCAGCATTCGAGTTATGAAAAGCAGTCTCAAGAAGAATAGAAGCAATTGACAGGACATTCAAACAAAGAAGATTGAACATCGTTTGCAGCTGTGGTTGAAAGAGTTTGCAATAAGAATGTGCCTTGGTTTGTGTTGTTATTTGCGTCTGAGAGCATTTAAAATGTTCTGCGCCCGTGTGGAACATACATTTGTTTGTTCGCCTTATGAACTTTACAGAATTCCTATTTATGTAGTCCATCTTTGGCAGTGACTTTGATGTAAAATTACAGATCAATTTTTAAATTATATTGCGAAATTAAAACTTTGAATAACTTGCGCGGAAAACTTGAGTTGTTTACTGTTTTCTTGGTTTAGCTAAAACTCAAATCTTAATCTGCAGCCATGCCATAGAAGGTGGAGACGCGGTGGCCTCATGGTTAGTGTGGTC